ACAGTGGCTCTACTGTTTCAAAGATGGCGGTGCTATTGCCACTCTATATATCTCTAACTCGTTGACTGCTACTGCTGTTGAGATGCTCAACGGGATATCTAGTGCGACTCATAAATTATGTAGGAAACAAATGGTGTCACACTTCGTGCGCCATCCTGTATGCATATTTTGATTTAAAATTTAAATTAAAAAGGATTATTTCCGACTTTGCCATTACAATCTCGCAAACTATCAGATTGTCATTATTTTTAACTTAATTTATTACCACTTGTAATCTTTCATAAAATGCAGTTGTTTTATCTTTCCTTTCTCTGGAACGTGTATTGCTGTTATTGTCATGTATCATCTTTCTACCTTAATTCGTAGTGTTACTGTTCTTTCGTTTATAAAAGTGTGTGTGACCCTACTTTATTGACTTTATTATTAAGTACAGCAACTCCTGCTGAGGCGCTCTCTACTTGTTGAACACCGCTATAGAGTATATACTTTTCTAATTGTATTGGGCTTTTTAATTTCTCTTCAGTTTCAGAGAGAGCTGAAAAATATACATCCATTTCAATCAATGTATTTTTCTAATTCTAATCTCAATTATTTATTTGTTATCCCTCTGACATTCCATGCTGCTATACGTAGTTTTTCTCAGATACCATTATTCGTTCGTCCTTTATTTTTTGCTGAGGTAGTTTTTATTTCCGTCCAGCAGTTCCTTTGAGCTTGCGAGTAAGATAGTTTCCCAAGTCGGGCTACAAACCCTACGTTGGGTATGCTGGATGAAGGGGATCCTCTCGTATGTACTAACCCTAAAAGAAAGGCTGTCTATTCCGCCTTCTAGCCGCTAGGGACTTTCTTCTTAACATAATAGTATTTATTAACCGTTTACCCTTTAGATCGTTACTCATAATGAATCATTTCTTCACAATTGAAACAATGAGCATGGCTTCACTTTGAACCGAGAAATCCAGATTTTTTTAGGTTGATGTGCTTCCCGATTTAAATCTGTTAAACCACTTGGATGAGTTCATATTTTCTTCGCCAAAGCTTTGGTGAATCATTCTGAAGGTCTCTGTAGCACTTTTGTCTGAACTAAAACAAAATTTAACGCACACACTCTGCTCTTCCAGCTCCTCCATTACTCGCCATCACAACAATTGCACTGCAGGCCGATGCAGACTGGGATAAGACCCGTTGTCGCGCGGTTCCGAGTACATCGCAGTAAGATGCGCCGGCGACTAGTGGCGGCTCCAATAACCATTTTGAGACAAAAGTCTTGAAAGGGAATATTCAAGCCAGATGCTAGTAAACAGAGAATATAGTGTTTTCATAGGTCATTGTGGAAGAAACATTTTTCTATTGTGGAATAGGTTTCGTACACTACTGCAGTCTGTACGCAAATCGGAGGAAACGCATTTGAATAGTTCAAAAATTCGTCAATAGGTAGCTCTGTACATCCCGCAAGAAAACCTTTCCCGTTAAAGTTGCCACCTCTTCGGGTTTCGTGGCCAATCTCCGGACTCCGGGTTTACGACTTTTATCTCCGGGTCATGCACAATATTGAATGTACTAGGCATCTAAAGTTTCTGATTCTTAAATTTCCCGAATTTGCACGCATTTTCTGTACTTTCAATTTTTATTTTTATTAAATATTGTAATACTTAATGAGATTCGTAGAAATAAATAAAAATTGTGGGTGTTTTCACTTTTTTATAAATTACAAATAAAAATATTACATGAATTTACATATTTCCGCATGTTTTACTGGCTCACTATAGGCACGGAACGGAATTTCTCAATTACGGGAAACATTTGATCCGATTTGAGAAACAGGATGAGAATCGAATTAGTCAAAACAGAACACTTTACAAAACTAAAGCACGATATACCTTTCGCTGAATTTCACAAATTCATAAACAATAAGAAGCAAGTATCCTTACTAAAGAAAGCCGTTTAAATGAGAAATATACTTGGAAGAAAAGTTAGTTTTAAAAAATAAATATTAAAGAAAAGTAATATAGATATTCTATTTTTAATGTAATAATTTATTATAGATTGTTGACTATGGAAATGTAATTTATTTAATTGTTTCTAAACTAATAAATTAAAATTATGATTGTACAATTAAAAAAATATGTGTAAATGTTAAATAAAACATACCCTACCCCCCCCCCCCCAGCTCATGAAAATTTCCGGGTGAGTATGTGACAATAGGTGGCAACTCTATTTCCCGTCACCGATCTCGGGTTGCGCCCGCAGACAGCTGCCATTTGCAAGTCCCATATTGCAATTTTCACCACTCCAAAGCATTGGAATACGGCAACAGCAAATTTGGCTACTGTAATAGCACACAGTTCTCGAACATCCCCAACCAATGAAGGAAAACGCAGAACATGAAATGCTGGCTTTTTTAAATTCTGACATCTGAGAAAACCTTGGTGAAAAAGTATATTAATATCTAATAATGTACAAAAGGAAAGGAAAGGTGGATATGCATTATTTGGGAGGGCAGTGCTCAGTACCCATGTTGTTGGCGACGTTTCAATTGCCATTACAACCGCTCATGGACGGGATATGTCTCGCTTCGGACCGTTAAGCGGTTTCCGAGCAAGGAGCTCAGTCCGGGCTCTTTTTCAACACACCTTGTAAATCGTTTTATGTTAACCGAAAGATTAGCTTTGGAGAAATTGTATGAAATATTCTGAGAATTTCGATGGGATTTACAATTTATTGTGCAGAAACTCTTGAGAGCTTTCGTGAACTGGCTCTGTGGACGAGAGGGTGCTTATGGCGGCCCGGGTGACGCCGCGTCGTTGGCTGAGAGGCCAACGTTTCATCTGTCATGTCGCAGGCTTCCTCAGGGCAGTGACACCGCGGATTTTTTAAAACTATTTTCCCCCTCAAGTTACCCCGGAGAGTCGGGATTCATTCATCAATTAGGATACGTCCGGCTGCAGCCAATTAGGCTTTGCAGCGAGGAAAGGGACACACTTAAATAGACTAAATATAACTTGGAAACTGTTAACAGTGCCGCTTGTCTAGTTTACGCAATAGGTATTTGTATTTATTATTTCATTTGAAATTGATAATGTTCTTTTCTCTCCTTTTTTTCTTTTTGTGTTCATTCTCATTCATTCTTAAACTATATTTAAAAACACATACACTCACTTATCCATACAACTCTGCAGTCTACTTCTGAGTCTTATGTACACTGATTTTATTGGCCACGGCCCAGACCCGGTGACCAGCGACCGCCTCCCACGCCCTTGCCGCTCCCCGCGTCGCGCAGCTCTGCTCACGTGTGCGGGGGCAGTGCTGCGGGCCCTTGCTTCTGTGGAAGGCCCTGTGCACGCCGTTGCGCCACGCGAGACCGGCGCAGGGCGGACGGCCTTAGCGCCCTGGGCAGCGCTGACTTCGTCCGCTTCTGCAGCTCCGCCGGGAACCTCGTTACACGCGCCTACAACTCTGGTGACACCGTGGAGATGGGCGTCCAGTATTCTACGCTGTCCGGCCTGGGCGCTCGGGAGGGGCTCCTTGGATTGGCAGGCGGTCTGGGCTAACCCGGGCGTCACGCCAACCAACCCAGGCCCAGGCCTCCACCAATCACGGCGCACCTGCACCTGCCCCACCTGAGCGCCCAGGTCAGACAGCGTATAATAGCGGACACGCAGACCGCGGTTTCACTACCACTTCTGCAGGATTGGCTATAGATGCCCGTAAGGGTAGAAATGGTCTCATCACAGTGGCGTGAACATACATTGCACCTTCCGTGCGTTCACAAAACTGCACAAAGAGGTCTTGATTTCACTGCTCTGAGGAAGCTTCCGACTAAACAGGCGAAACGTCAGCCTCTCAACAGCGGAAGAGAGCTTTAACCGCTGGATTATCTATACCCAAGGCTCTGGTGTAAGCCTTTCCCTGGGAAAATGTCCAATGTCTCATCCTCCATTGCATCCAAGTCTTTCAATTTGGCTGATAAGCGTTTTCTGTTAACAGACGGAGGAGACTCCAGCTCTCAGGAGAAAACATTTTTGTGTTTTTTCTGTGAAAAGAGCTTCGGGAAAGAAGAATACATCAAAAAGCATATGCTCATCCACACTGGAGAAAAACGTTTCCAATGTTCCATCTGTGAGAAGGGCTTTAGTGTAAAAGGATCGTTAAATAGCCACATGAAAATTCACTTTAGAAGAATACTTTTTCAGTGTTCCGTGTGTGGAAAGAACTTCACTACAAAAAAATATTTGAAAGCTCACATGAATATACATACCGGTGATTATCCTTTCCAGTGTTCCTTATGCAAGAAAAGATTTGGAACCAAGCAAATTGCAGAAAGACACATGCTCATTCACACTGGCAAAAAACCTTTTCAATGTACCATATGTGCAAAGTGCTTCAGTTTGAAGGGGAACTTGAAAACCCACATGCGTATCCACACTGGCGAGAGACCTTTTCAGTGTTCCATTTGTGAGAAGAACTTCACTGAAAAGAGTACTTTATTGACACACTCAAGAATACATAGCGGTGACAAGCCATTTCAATGTATTTTCTGTGAAAAAGGCTATAGATTAAAATCACTCCTAGAAACACATATGTTCATCCACTCTGGTGAGCACGCTTTTCAATGTTCGGAATGTAAGAAGGGCTTTGAAACCGAAATAAAATTAGACCAACATATACGTTCCCACACTGACAAGAAACCTTTTGAATGTTCGGTATGTGAGAAAGGCTTTAGATTAAAATCGCTCTTTGACGCGCATATGTTCTTCCACACTGGCGAGAAAGCTTTTCAATGTTCGATATGCAAGAAGGGCTTTGAATCGAAAATAAAATTAGATCGACACATACGTTCCCACATTGGAGATAAACCGTTTCAGTGTTCAATCTGTGAGAAGAGCTTCACCGAGAAAGGATATTTAAAATACCACATGAGCATCCACACTGGTACGAAATCTTTTCAGTGTTCTGTTTGTGAGAAGAGCTTCGTGAAGAAAAGTAAATTAGAAAGACACATGCGAAGCCACACTGGGGAGAAACCTTTTCAGTGTTCCATCTGCGAGAAGTGCTTCAGTGATAAAGGATCCTTACTACGGCACATGGTCATCCACAAACGATTACAGTGTTCCGTATGTGAGACAAAATTAACACCGAAGTCTTTTTTAAATTCGCACATGCGCTTTAACTCTGGCAAGAAACCGTTTCACTGCACTATCTGTATGAAGAACTTTACTCTAAAGGGAAATTTACTGAATCACATGAATAATCATATTAATGAGACACCTCTTATGTGCACTGCTTGTCATCCGAGCCCTGCGTAACGTCTTGTCTAACAGCATTAACTCCATACTTCGGAGAAACTTTTTCAATGGTTTATTGTTTAGAAGAGCTTTATTGAGTGACAAAACCTCAAGAGCTTCTCTCTATGAAGGGAAATTTCATTTGGAAAATGTTTACCACACTAATGAGAAACACCTCACGAACCCCTCAAATAAGAGCTTTCTTTAACAAAGATTTCATAAGCAGGAGATGACGTTATTTAAGTTCAATCTGTAAGATTCTTTCAGAAAGACGACTTAGGGAACTTGCGGAACCATACCGGTAACCAAACACATTATTTCACTACCAGTAAAACGAAACTACTTTTCACAAAAATTCACCTTTACATGTGTAGATGCAACCATCCTGAAATGAAATCTCTGAACCCTGCGTACGTGAAAAGAATTGTAAAAGAGTAAAAGACAGGCTGAATTATTAACATAAGTATCCATATTTGAGACAAACTTTTGAATTCAACTTCGCTGTTCAGTCTCTAAGATGATCTACTGATGATCATTGTCATTTCGCTGGTTGGAAAATGTGTTTCAATCGAAAACATTTCTTGCGAAGGCAAAGTATTCCTCCGCGTTGCCGCGGTCTATGCTCGGACCGACAAATCCTGTCCCCCCATGTGCGTACACACACGTGTTCCTTGTGCCTCGCTGAGGAACCTATTGGATGGACTCTCCTGCAAATTGTATTGCCCGAAAAGGACATAACGAGACCTCACGTATGCACTAAGCAAAAGTCTAATTTTGAAGAATATTTACGAAAAGAAACATTGCAGTAACAGAGCTCCATGAAGTATGGTGAGAACCTTATCTTTCTATCCTTCTTTCAGAAAAACTATTAAAAAATTGTTGTTCCTCGGGAACCTCTAACAACCGGTTATTAGACCGGAAAATAAATCAATTGTGTACAGTATAAAATTTAAGTGTTTTTATTGACACCCTTTTCCACGTTTATCTATTCCCCATTTCCCCCTTTAGATTTAAATTTATTTAGTCAAAAAACAGTATAAACTGTATGTGACGTAGGGGGTAAAAGATTATCTGCGCACGTTTTCTTGAGTTCCATAATCCCTTCCCGTCATTTTAACAATAAATAGTTGAAAGGTGAGTAAACGATTAACATAAATAAATTTTTAAAATTGTAAGAATAGCAATATTTGAAAAATAGTCTTCCCTTCGAAACTAATTTTCCACTTTTACCATTAATTGCTGTGTATTTAATTGCGCTGTAAGAATCAAGCAAAACGAATTTATTTGTAAAGCCAGTTATGTTTTCGTTGAATTCTTCAGTTTTCGAGACTCAAGAAAAACGGAAAGATACCCTCTTATATTGTTCCTTATGGAATAGGGAAGGATGATGGACGAAGGGTTAGCAGTGTCTCGTGTAAACTCAAAGTTTGGAATAACAATGGTTCATTTCATAAACAAAAGAATAAAACTATGTATACAAAATCAGTATACTTTCTTCTTAGCCCATTAACGCCCAAACTATTTTTATTTTTAATTTCTCTTATACGTGTGCATATACGGAGTAATAAAGGAAGTATAGACAAAGTTATGTAATGCTGCGCGAAAAAACGGTGGATTTTCGGCAGGAAAAAATTGCGTGGAGTAGCCAGAATCCCTGTTATGTGGGTCGTTCATACAGAACTAGTGGTGCTACAGAATGGCACAGACTTTCCCGTACGTTTTCTATTTCCTTTGGTCTCGGCTAGGTATTCGGAAATCCCACATACTCTTGCCAGCTGCCATCTATCGCCGCCGAAAGTATATTTTTTTAAAAATTTTCTCATTTCGGTTTCCTAATAAAAGAACGGAAATATTTTATGAATATTCAAAACCAGTAAAACATTATACAAAATAGTAATTCTATTTGAAAAATGTAGAGCCGTTTTCATGAAGATGGTGTTCAACCGCTACTGTAAATTCGAAATTTGAAGCTCCTTTTCATAGAAAATTTCAATAGTGTTTTCAAATTTTTGGAAGTGTACATATTAACGCCGTGAGAGATCTTACAAAAAAATTACATTTGTGTAATTGCTTTTTAAAATACGACAACATGACCTTTGTTTTTTTAAACAGTGATGTTAGCATTATTCTTCGAAAAAAATTGAAGAAAATTTTTGAGTTGGAGCGTTTCTGCAAATGCTGAATTTTGAGCTAGTTTTCACAGAGATTAGTTGAGTTTTTGAGCAGCTTTACGGAACATTATTTAAAGCACATACACTCATAAATATAAAATTAAGAAATCTCCACTAATATAACGACGTGAATGACATTTCAAAAAATACGGTTTTTTGAATAAAACAAAAGAATACAGCAATATGAGGTTTATGCACTAACACTACCAAAACCTTGAAAAAGTATTTGAAGCCGTTTTTGGAAAAATTTTGTTTGTGTAATTTCTTAAAATGGCAAATATTGCGCTAAAACTACTAAAAGTTTCTAAAAAGTACATGACCTTAATGACTGAACTAAATATGGAGAAGAAATTTTATTTGAAGGAGAGCCTAGATTTTCAATTGTAGTCATAGAAAGACATATTACTGGGTGTAACAGGTGTCCTTTTAACCAAAGAGAGCTAAAGGCAATATTGGACAGATCATGAGAATCGTTCAACTGAATCTGAACCATTGTGAAGTTGTTCAGGGTATCCTAACTCAGTCTGTGAAGGAATGACAGACATGTCGCTATCCTGTGTGAATGTAGAAACCGCGACGATTCATCATGGGTATCCGGCCACAGCAACAAAGCGATTTGGGTATGTGGGAAACTCCATTTCAACAGTAATGACACGAGGTGACGTTGTATTCGTCTGGGTAAAAATAGATGCAATCTATATTTACAGTGCAGTAGATGCAGTTGAGGAAGGAGGACTCTCGGAAAACCAGCAATGCTAGCTCAACCGGCGACGCCGTTAGACTTCTCGTTGACACTACCCGACAGGCCGTTAGTGGGAGAAGATGGAAAAGAAGCTCGTAAAAGTACTGTGCGGTGCTAAATTCGGACATTAAGAATGCCTTTAACTCAACAAGATGGAGTGGCATCCATAAATCCCTCCAGCAAATCAGTGTGCCTACGTACTTGAGGATTGTAGCTTAATATCTGAATCGCAGAATCTTATTGTACATTACGGTTCATGGACCTAAGGTACACTTTACCGCTGGGGCCCCACAAGGTTCGGTGCTGGGTCCACTGGAATGTAATGTACGATGAAGTTCTTAGGCTCCTATTCCCAGAAGGGACCAAGATCATAAGCTCGATGGTTGAAATTAATTACGAGTTTCACACCAACTACGGGCCAAGAAAAAAATGAATAGATGACATTAAAAATTATTTAATTTTAATTCTAATTTTCTATTGAAACCAGTTACTAATGGCGAGAAAGTATGTTCTGTTTTAGCACTACTAGTTTTATTAAACATCATCTCTGGATGGTAAAAATAACATGCTACACAATGGCACAGACTTTCTCGTGTTAGTTTTCTATTTTATTTGGTCTTCTTACCACAAACTCTTGGCAGCTACCAACTATCGCAGCCCAAAGTACAGTTTTTTAATTGTCTCACTTTTTCGGATTTCGAATAGAAAAACTGAATTATTACTTTAAGAATATTAATGACGTGTAAAACCTCATTCTAAACGGCAATTATCATTGAAAAATTTGGAGCCGTTTGCGAAATTTGAAGTTCTTTTTAACAGAATTTTTTTGCGTTTCTGATAACCATCATTTGAAGCTCTTCCCCTCACTAGTGCAGTAATGTATTCAAATCACTGGAAAAGTGCATATAAACGGCGTGAGACATTTAAAAAATTACATTTGTGTAATTTTTCCCAAAACAAAATAACAGCAAAATTAATTTTATGTCATCCTAAACAGTGCAATTAGCAATATTTGCACGGAAAGTTTGAAGAAAAATTTGATGCCGTTTTTGCGAAAATTGCGTTTAAAAGTTTATGGAGATACAGAAATTTGAGCTCGTTTTCACAGAAAAGTTTTGAGTTTTTGAGAAACTTTATTAGACATCATTTAAGGTGGTTAGAGCGAGTGTTATGTTTAACATGCCTTTTTTATTGTAGTATTCGAAAGATGAGAGT